GTTGATGAGGTGCAATACACAGAGCCCATCACTTACAAGTTGAAGGATCTGCTTGGGGAAGAAATTAAAGGCACTTTCTACGAACAAGAGATGTTGAAGGCAAAGCAGAGCCTTTCAGGTCTTTTCCGCATTGAGAAGGTTATACGAAAGAAGGGTAAACAAGCTCTCGTAAAGTGGAGCGGTTATCCAGAGAAATTTAACTCGTGGGTTAATGTGAGTGAACTTCAGAAGTTATAAAAAAATGAAAAAAAATGTTTTAAAATATGAGAAAGAAATAGATGATGGATAAACCTCGATGGGTGTTCTCGATGGATCAACTTGAAATAGATACAAAAGCTGAACTCTTGGCAAGAGGAAAAGAGATGGGTCTGAAAGGTCTTAGTGGACTGAATAAAAAAGGTCTGATAGAAGCTATCAAAAATCTACCACCACCAAAAACTCTCGAAAGAGATATAAGAAACAAAGATTGTATTATAGATGAACTTGAAACATATTCAAGGCTGGCACTTATTGCAAAAGCAAAAGAGATGGGTCTGCGAAACTTTCGTGGAGTCAATAAAAAAGAATTGATTGAAATTATCAGAAATCCACCACCACCAAAAACCCCTGCAAGATACGCTGGTGTGAAAAAAAAGGTGATACTAACACCTATACATAATGATCAACCCATAGAAACACTCGTTTTTCCAACGATATACAAAGCTTCAAAACATTTCAACATAAATCCAGCAAGGTTTGGTTCGAAAAGAGATGATACAGAAATAGTTATTCATGGAATACGATACTCTCTGTCATTTGAGAGTTATACGTTGAAAAAAGATCTACCACAATGTTGAAGATAGAGGTCTTTTTCCTCACTTGAATTGAGTGAGGAAAAAATTGGAAAGAAAATATGAGAAAGAGTTTATTGCACAATAAGAGAGACAAACACAATAATGGGGGCACACTTTGTTGACATACCTCTGTTGAACAAACTCACTGTCAAACAACTCCGTCAAATCGTGGCTATTCATAATCTTCATGGCTATTCTGACGATCGAAAAAGTGAGCTTTTCACACTCATTGTCATCAAGCCAGCGGACATTATCGCCGCATTTTATCCTCATGAAGCTAATCAAATCGTGGATATTCCTAATCTTGGTTACTTTTCTAACTATCAAAAAGATGAGCTTATCAAGCTCATTAAAAAAGATAGAGATTTGCTATTTACGGCATATGGAGTGGTATGGGCACAAGAGTCTTTTGAAGAAGACGCATGGCTGCAAGCGCAGTGTGAAAGCGCAGATTGTTTAGAGTGATGTAAACAACATAAAGTTGTGGGTTTTTTTTTCCTCACTTGAATCGAGTGAGGAAAATACCTTAGAGAAAAAATGAGAAAGAAAATATGAGAAAGAGTTTTTTTTGAGATCAAAACTATCTTTACAGAATACATATTTGCATAATGGAGAGACACACTGTTGATCAACTCCGCAAAGAAGCAAAGAAGAGAGGCCTTCACGGCTATTCAAGACTTCGAAAAGCTGAGCTTATCAGGCTCATTCAGTCAAGCAGTGCAGCTGCAAGTAGTACTGCGGTTTCCAAGCCGCAAAAGCAATATCGAAAAATCGTGTTCGTCTGGAATCACTCAGGTGGCTCTCTACTAGACGCACCGATACCCGCGCATGAAATACCTAAAGGAGATATATTGAAACCAACACCAGCACCACTGATAAAAAAAATCGAAAAGGCTGTTGATTGGGGAAAAAAAAAGGTTGAAGATTGGGGCCAGTGGTTGAAGAAAGAGGTGCCAAACACGCCGCGAGCAGTCGATGACAAGTTGAAAGATTTCAAAGAGCATATCAATAAACTCTACAAGACAAGTGACCAGCCCCGTTTCAAAATTTTTCCGAAAAAGTCTTCATTGAAACAGTTTGCAAAAATGTATACGATTGAAGGGAGTGAGCGTTATGGACCGCTGGCTTATCTTGAAGTTGTAAAACCGACCGTTATCAACTTTTTGAATGTACAAAAGAATATCAAGATAGAGCTCTTTCTGAAGTGTCGTATGACAAAGAAGCATATTGATACTGGTGAGGTTGAAGAGCAAGATGCATACTTTGCATCTTTCCAACGGATGATCTTTCAAGAGACTGATCGAGAAGAAATTTATGATGAATGTGCGGGGGAAATGTTAGAGAGTTTGGCTACGTTCACAAGAGAAGGGAGTGGGTGGGTGGTCGAGTCTGTCGAGGGCTTAGATTTGCATACGGTGAAATACACTCCTTTGAAAGGTTCTTCTTACATTAAGCTGTCAAAACATCTTGAGAGAAAGATGGCCATCATAAACATGCAAAACAAAGATGAAGAGTGCTTTAAATGGTGTGTTACGAGAGCTTTGTACCCTGTTCAAATTCATCCTGAGCGTATCACAAAGATTTTGAGAAAACAGGCAGAAAAACTTGTGTGGGATGGTATTGAGTTTCCAGTGGAGGTAAAGAGCATTGACCGTTTTGAAAGGTTGAATCCAGAGATCGGTGTCAACGTTTACATGTATGAAGATGGACTTAATCCCTTGAGAGTGAGCAGCAAAGCTCAGAGTACAACTAAAGTTATTGATCTTCTTCTAATTACTGAAGGTGACAAAAAGCATTACTGCCTCATCAAAAATTTGAGTCGACTCGTATCGAGTAGCCTATCGAAACATGAGCATAAGAAATTTATCTGTAGGAGATGTCTTAATTATCTCGGTTCTCAGAGGGTTCTTGATACACACAGCGAATTGTGTAGAGATCATGAGGCTGTGAGAGAAAAGATGCCGAAAGAAGAGACTTATCTCTCTTTTAAGAATCATCAGAAGAAGATGGACATGCCATTTACCATCTATGCAGACTTTGAGTCGTTAATAAAACCTTTAGACACCGTTCAACCTAATCCAAAAGAGTGCTACACCGAGAAGAAGCAACAACATATTCCAATAAGTTTCTGTTACTATGTTCTGTGTTCATTTGACGATAGATACTCAAAACGAGTTGAGTATACAGCCAAGTCTGAAGATGAAGATGTGGCGCAAACATTCGTTGAAGCGCTTGAAGCAGAGGTTAAGGACATATACAAAAACCACCCTGCAAAGGAGATGATCTTCACAGACAGAGATGCTGTCAAATTTGAAGATGCGACATGTTGTTGGTTGTGTGGAGAAGATTTTGAAGAGGGGAAGGACAAAGTTCGTGATCACTGCCATTACACCGGCAAATTTCGAGGGGCTGCGCATAACAGCTGCAACCTGAAATTCCAACGGCCAAAGTTTACACCTGTCGTGTTGCACAACTCGGCAAACTATGACGCTCATCTCTTCGTTAGAAATCTTGGTGTTTCAGAAGGAGACATTGATTGCATACCCAACAACGAAGAGAAATACATCAGCTTTACAAAACATGTTGTGGTTGATAAGTTTTTTAATAAAAAAGGAAGAAAAAGACGTCGAGGTAAAGAGAGAGTTGAGGTTTATTGACAGCTTTAAATTCATGGCCTCCAGTCTTGACAAGCTCGTTAAGAACCTTGCTAAAAAGGGTGAGTCTTTCTTCCAAAATACAAGAAAATATTATTCTGGAGAGAAGCTTAAACAATTGATGCAAAAGGGTGTTTATCCCTATGAATGGATGAACACTATACAAAAGCTTGATGAGCCACAACTTCCGCCAAAAGAAGCTTTCTTCTCCGCGTTAAGTGGTAAAGGTATCTCGGATGAAGACTATACCCATGCTCAAAATGTATGGAGAGTCTTTGGTTGTAAGACATTCAGAGATTACCACAATCTCTACAATCGAAGCGACGTGCTTTTACTAGCCGATGTGTTTGAAAACTTTCGCGAGCTTTGCAAAGAGAATTACGATCTCGATCCTTGTTGGTACTTCACCGCGCCGGGTTTGGCTTGGGATGCCTGCCTCAAGTTGACTGGGGTAAAACTTGAGTTGTTGAGCGATATAAATATGTTGCACATGTTTGAGGCTGGTATTCGCGGTGGGATTTCGATGATTTCGACAAGGCATGCAAAAGCCAACAACAAATACATGGAGAAAAGCTTTGACCCTATCCAACCTTCAAAGTTTATCACGTACCTCGATGCAAACAACCTTTACGGTTGGGCGATGAGTAAGTCTCTGCCAACAGGAGGTTTTAAATGGGTGGATGAGAAAGACTTTGGAAAATGGGAAAATTTTCCCTGCATTCTCGAAGTCGACCTGAAAGGTGTCAAAGAAGAGCTTCACGATCACTTCAACGACTATCCACCCGCCCCTGAAAATCAGTTGATTGAGAAAGTGCATAAGCTGGTCTGTACGTTAAACGAAAAGAAAAAGTACATCGTTCATCATGAGACATTGAAGCATTACATGAGTCTTGGAATTGAGATCGGAAAGATTCATAGAATTATCAGGTTCAATGAGAGTCCTTGGATGAAGAAGTACATCGATTTGAACACATCTTTGAGAGCCAAAGCAAAAAACGAATTTGAAAAAGACTTCTACAAGCTGATGAACAACGCTGTCTTTGGCAAAACCATGGAAAACATTCGAAAACGCGTTGACGTGAGACTTGTTACAAGAGAAGAAAAGGCAAAGAAGTTGGCAAATAAGGTCAACTTCAAACATTGTACCATCTTCTCCGAAGATCTGTGCACAATGCACATGAGGAAGACGCAGATTCTCTTCAATAAACCTCTCTATCTCGGGATGAGCATCCTCGATATCAGTAAGACATTGATGTACGACTTTCACTACAACTACATCAAACCTAAGTACCCAGAGGGTAGATCAAAGCTTCTTTTCACCGATACAGACAGTCTTTGCTATGAGATTCAGACCGAAGATTTTTACAAAGATATAACTAGCGATGTAGACCGTTTGTTTGACACGAGCAACATTTCAAAGAGGCACTCTTCTGGGATACCAACCGGCGTTAACAAGAAGGTGATTGGAACGTTTAAAGATGAGGCAAGTGGAAAGATCATTCAGGAGTTTGTTGGTCTGAGGGCTAAGCTGTACAGCTACAAGATGTTTGATGATGGAGAGGAAAAGAAGAAGTGCAAGGGGATAAAAGAAGGAGTGGTAGAACGTACGATTAGCTTTGATGACTACAAGAGATGTCTGTTTAGCGGTGTAAAACAACTACGAAAGATGAACACACTTCGAAGTCTAAAGCATGAGATGTACATGGAAGAGATTAATAAAGTTGCACTATCCGCAGACGATGACAAGCGAATCATTTTACCAGACAAAATACACACGTATGCAATAGGACATTGTAGAGAAGCAGACACTACAAAAGCTGTCACACAACACACTTAAAGGCAAATGTCGCGCCGTCAAAAATATACTATATGCACAATAATTTGACGTGAATGTGCAGGGCCGAGCCGCCGGAAAGTGCCAAATTAATGAAAAATGGGGAAGAAAAGTGCAAATTAATGTATAATCACGATAATATGACGTAAATCATGAAACTGTCCTCGAACCGGCACTTATCCTACTACTGGTGAAAGCTTAAAGTTAATTTAGAGCGTATTGGAAAAGATTTATTGGTCACACAGGTGTTGAACAGTTAGAGAAGTAGTTTGTGTTTGTGTATTGCGAAATGCCTGGCGATAACTGTGCGGTTTTCGGCTGTGGCTCGTGTAGAAGGACG